GTGAGGTACCGGCTCCGGCAAGTAGGTGCCGCGGGGCTGCTCGGTCCCTTTTTTATTACATACCCTGCAGTGCTGCCGCGCTTACCGGCGTGCTGGCGCGCTGTGGTGGTGTGCGTAGAGTTGAGCTTTCTTCAGCTTGGGCAATCAACCATAGCTGTCTTTAATCCAGTGTATGTGGTGTCAACGGTCTGTGGCAAAATATTGGTATTTCCTCACCTTTCCTACACGTTCCTTGGGAGAGGCTCCAGAATCCTGCTTGCCCTGCCTGCTGCCTCAAGGCCAGGCTCCTCCATCTCCTCACCTCCCCTCAGTCGCATCGAACTGCTGGGCTCCCGAAGTCCTTCCCATTAATCCCTTGATCAACGATCTTTGCTTTACACGGTAGAATTTTCGATAAATTGCTCCTATCCTCATCAATAATGCCAACTAGCTTCATAACTGCGAACCCTTGTTTCCAAGGGTCACTTTTCTGTCATCTCTTCTTTCAGAGGTTCCTTACCCAACGTCTAGATCTACCAATAATCAAAGAATAGTACTGAGTTTACCTGATGAAACGATGGTGCATTTTACACTGCATTGAAAAAAAAAAAATTACTTCAAACTTTTTAAAACTTCTGCATGCTGTCCATCCTGTGTGCTGAGCATAAGCAAAATGTGGCTAGCCCTTCCATTGTACACAGTGTTCCAGAAAACAATTTTTTATAAAAAATATATATAAATTCAATATTATTTAGAATCCCACTGCTGTGCTGCTTTTCTACTCTGCACCACGTGCCAAATACAGCTAATGTTGGACTTGATGATCTTAGAGGTCTTTTCCAACCTTAAAGATTCTGTGATTCTATAATGTAGTGTGATATTAATCTCTCAGACTTTGCTGCTGCCTGAGTTATTTTCATTCCCATCTTCCGTCTTGCCTTTGCCTCCATAGTTAATACAAACATGGGACCTGATATACATTGTCTTTGATCTGTAGTCCACTCTAATGTCTTAACTTCCCTGCTCTCTTTCGAGCTGTATGGACACTTAAGCTATTTGTTTTCATATCCTTGATTTTTTGGATAATTCTTATGTTTCATGATTTTCAAGAAATAGCTTTCCTAACACATTAACTAATTTCTTCTACCTCAATTTCCATTCCTGGTGAACTTACCATATATTGTTGTCTTCCTCCAACGCAGTTCTTCCTCTAGCTGATTCTGATTCCCATCTCTACTAGTTTTCACTCTGGGAATCAGATCCCCGGTAATCCCAGTGCTAAGCCTGCTCTCTAGTCAAGCCCTTGAGTTCCTTACACTTGTTGACTAGGCATTTTCCTTAGTTTGTCAGTCTCCAATGAGGAGGACGATGATGAAAAACTAACATTTACTGTAAATTATTTGCATTGAAACCAAGAAAAAATTGGAGATATTTACCATGACCAGATCTTGGATTAGTTAGAGGGCTTCCAAAATTCCATTTTTATATTTTACCCCAGATTTGTCCACACACTGACCTTCTATACTGTTACTAGAAAGTGACTGAAAACCATTGCTAGAGATAACCCACAAGACGAAGGACGCTGCTCAGCATGTTTTATTACTAGCTGTTAATGCCACCAAAACCTCTCATCTTAGTACTCTGAAGATACCTGTTACAAATTTTGACCCAAACTATGTACATTTAGTAAGAGTTGCACCAGTCGTATTACAAATGCATTGATTTTCTCTCTCTGCTCATGTTTTGAGTTTGTTTAACAAGAGGATATATAATGGTATCTAAATCTCACACCATCCTATAAGCACCAAAGCTGTCAATCATGTTGTAGATTTATTTCTTCAGATTACATTTATTGCTAATATTTTTAACCAAAACTTCTTGCATTTCACTTAAAACCTCTTTACAGGTGTGCACTGCTTATAGACTTTTGCAGTAGAACAAGTAAACAAGGATACTTCAACCCTTCTAGTGCAGTGCACTGTCACGCTGATCCAGCCATGCCTGCGGAAGGGAAAAGTGATATGGAGAGGACTGGCCTCTTCAGTGAAATGGGTTATGTTACCATTGGAGATAAATATGTATCACAATATATGCGTGAGTACATTTAATTTTAATCTCTGTTTAGTGATATGGGCCACCTCTAGTATCCATCTACATTCAGAATCACTATTTTCTGATTTTTTTTTTTTTTTTGTTAGAGGGAACAGCTTTTTCATGCATATTCTTTGCTCAGGTCTGTATTATTAAGAGAAAGGCTTCATGTGTTGGAATTAATATATTGAAGAAAGGAAAAATCCAGTAAAACTGAAAAATATGTATGCATAATAGACTGATAAAATCTTTTCATGTATACATTTCTTTTTAATATTAATTATCTGCAAGTTACCAGTATTTTACTGCTTTTGTGAAAAACAATAGTGTTTTTTGTGTGCAATTTTCAGCAGGTTTTTGTTATTGACAATTACATTGTCATTATTTTTAAATGTGTTGCAATTTTTTTTCCTGTTCTGATCTGACTCATGTGTGTGAGATTCCCCATCCCATCTTTTTAAAGAATATTCTCCGTTTCTTGTTGTTTAATGAGAATAGTCATTGAGAAAGGTAGTTTTTGTAACTAGTAAGGTTACAGAGGTTAATCCTCAAGTAGCTGCTTTGAAGTGATAATGCAAAATAATCCTGGCTTCTCAATACAGACATTTCTGCCGTGTTCTGGTGTCAGCGATGAACATGTCCACCAGAACCTCGGCTGATACACTTCTACCACACTGAGCTGCTGGGGATTCAAAACCCAACTGGAGGCACTTAAGCTATTCTACCTGGTCTGTAAATAGTGGGAGAGAGATGCTCCTCTGAAGTATTACTTGTAGTGTATAAATACACATCAGCTCTAGCTCTGAATTGTACTCTGGAGTAACCAGTCTCTCCACTGCCTGTAAAGCAAGTGCAGGGGTTAGAAAACCCCTGTGCTGTGAATACCTTCTAATAGCATTGTCTTTCAGACACAACCATTTACATGCAAGATTTACAAGTTAAATGCACTGTAGTACATTCTTCGAGCCACCCAGATCTAGGCCTTAGTTTTTTAATGTAGACTAAGGGAAGCACTAACATCAAACAGTTATTTACAGTGCTTACTTTTTTTAAAGGCCCTTTTAATGAAGCTGCGAGCAAGAACAGACAGATGTTACCTGGGGGGACCAAAACATTGTCAGCTCTGCAGGCAGGTTATTTTGAGCCTCAGTTTGTGAGGATTTTTGATGGTGAAGCCTACTCAAACCCTGTTCAGCTAAGGAGACGCTATAGATTGGCAGAATCAAAGAAAAATTTGGGCAAAGCGTTCCTTCCCAGTAATGGAGACAAATTGCCGTAAGTGTTGTGAAAATGTTTTAAATTGAGCTTTTTTCTTTTCTGTACGCTAAAGATGGTTTTCATAGATTATTTGTTATAAAACTTGTAATGAGAGTACAGTATTGTTGTTTTATGTAGTGTTAGTCAGTACTTAGAGAAGAATTTTGAGCAGCAACACAGGGAAGACTGAACACAGGTAGGAATCAGGTCCTGATGTTTGCTCTTAACTACTGCTTTTTTCTGTAAACAGTTTTCTTACCCTTTAGCTTTTTATTTTTGATGAAAATGAAGATTGCTATGGGAAAAGGGTGTGGATAATTAACAAAGGAATATTTCATTTTAATTTAGGAAGAAATCTGTTGGAACTTGTCAGAGACAATATCCTCTCCCTCCCATTTCTGAGCCTCCCAAAACAGAGATGGCATATATATTCTCTAAACAGTAGGAAAAGGGGCCATTATCCAGGTGCAATGTTTTCTTCTCAGTGAATCCATATCCATTATCTTTTTGCTAGAAAAAGTACCAATTATCCTATAGGACGATCAGAAGTTGTTACAGAGCTGAGGAATATACACAGAATATTAAAATAAATGCATCTTTGCTAATTGCATGACAAAATGACACCAATGCAAGTGGTGTCATATAACTATTATTATTCACATGTTAGAACAGATAGAACCTGGTTACTCATTTATCACTATACAGTCTTGGTTTGTTCTTGTTGCTGCAATAAGAAACAGGAGAATTCAGGGCCTAGTTTTTACAGTCTCATGGTTTTATTTAGTCATATCTTTCTGCAGCTTTGCTTTTGGAAAGTTTGGAGAGTAACCTCTTGTTTATTTTATATATATACATATATATTTTAGGATGCAAGGGTTAGCTTTTTTCTGTTGTATGTTACAGGAACATCTTAGCTTTTAATAGGAGCGTAAGACATGATGTGTTGGCTTTCTGTTGTATATATGTATGCTATATCTGATGGGACAGACAATGCGTAAGCCCCGTGTTTAAAACTTTCAACTGCAACTTGACTTTATAGGAACCAAATTATCTATAAGGGTTTAGCTGTTAGAAATACCTAGGCACTGATTTCAAATCCATGTCATTCAGAGTCCTGTTCACTTACTTTCTGGGTTTTGAGTCCAACAGTAGGAGTCTTGCTTACAACGAAGACCTACTAATGTGCTCTTTTCCATGTACTGCCTCCACAAATGCTCTTGGTGGCTGTGGGTGCAGCAGCTTGTGTTTTTAATCTTGTAAGACTTTTGAATTCTTCTAGACATGAACTTTAGGACAGGTTCTTTATTGTCTTTATCCTCCCCTAAATCTGTACTGGCAGAGTAGTACAGAGCAGAGGCTAGAAAAGAGGTTAGGTTGTCTTTATTGGAATCCTGAAGCAATTATGGAGAGTGATTATACATTTCTTATATCCAAAACTGATTCCCATCATGACTAAGGAACTAGTACGGAGCTCTGTTGCTGTTCATTGAGTTGTTATTCTTGTCTGCCTGAATGATAAGCAGCTTTTGGGAATCTTTCCTTTACATCGGAGCCACATTCGTTGTTGGCTGCAAATGGAAAGGTAGCAAAGATATCATATTCTGAAGATGTGACCAAAGCCTGAGCCTTTCTTCATGTGTCTGTTCTCTCTTATTTTGTTTCTGGCATGTAAAAAGCCTACAAACAGAAGTGATGTTTAAAGAATATGAAATAAAACACTTAAGAGCTAGGAAACACCAAGATAAAGGTTGTCTGTGTATTGTCAGTTTGCCCATTTTTTTCTATATATGGGTTTATGAACCTCCCTAAATAAAGGCAGGTTAGCGTTCTATGCAAAGATGACAAATGTTATCTTGGCATCCTAATCCTGCCAGTATTCTTTAATGGCCCTCTTTTAAGTAGGAACTCATTGAGACACTTTACTCTCCTCCCACAATAATTGCTGTAGTAGTAGATCCGTGGACAGTGGATCTGATCTGGTTTTATATTTAACTCTTGAGATGTAGATATAGTTTGGGTTTTCTACTTACTGCTGTTTTAGCACACTAGATATGGAAAGCCTGAAATATTTGCAAAACATTAATTAATGTGTTCATTTGCTACTTTTAGATGTGGACTTGGCAGCTATTATGGAACCATAGGAGGTTCATATGCATACTTCAGTCCACAACTGAAAGCCAAAGAAAGATACATTCCTCCTGGAAAGAATTTTTATACTAATCCAGGAAAGAAAGGAACTGGATATGGGTAACGTCACAATATTACTTCTTCAAGAGTATTTTATTAAATGTTTCTTGAGTTTTGAACACTTAAGTTATTATTTTTGTTTTTACAGTTATGCAAACCTTACCATAGGTGAATATCTGCATGAACCTGATGGGTATGAAGTAGGAAGAATAAATGCAAAGGTATAAATATTTGTCTTTATTATATGTTAGTGTTATGATTATTTATTACAATTTACATGAACTTCTTGTTACCTGTGGTGTTTCCTTTAGCATGAATCACTGATGTTTATTTACAATGTGAAGGAAGAAAAATAAATTAACGACCATGACCAGTGTAAAAAAAGATTTAGGTATTGTTCATTTATTATTTTTCTTTGAGATGTCTGGCAGTATCCCACACAAGTTCTACCATTCAGTATTTGACCTTAATTTTTTTATTTGGAGACCACAATGCAATAATGACCAAACAATGCCAATAGCAAGAATAATAATACTTCTATATTGTTGTCAGAAGAATAGGGCCTCGTTATCCCAGATGATAGATATATATATAAAAGTTCCTTTTTTCATATAAGTTCATAAATCTAAGCAAACTCATACATGTGCTTGCACTGATTTTAGTTATCCTGTATATTTTCATCACATATAGTGAAAAATGGTAGCGGGAGGATGTTTTTTGGTCTAGGGTAAGAACAAGATTAGAAGAAACAATTCATCTACCTGCAGTTGAGATAAATTCAGAGTCAAAACTAAGCATCCAGTATAGAAAATAAGAACAGAGAAAAGAGGGAGGCGAGATTGTTTCCACTGGATAGAAAAGAAGGAATTTGCTCTGAGTCATTAGCATGAATTACCCGGTGGTACTGTGTTACTGATGGTACATTTTACGCTTGTCTTTTAATTGTTCATAATGTTTTAACCTATTTTATTTTAAAATGGAATCTGGGAAGAATAGTCAACATCTCCCATGGTACAAAGAACCAATTCCTAGAAGCTTGGTAAGGTGCTCAGAATCTGGGAAACATATTGGCCAGGGTTGACAGGTATGAGCAGCTGGGATGCATGTAGGTAGAATTTTCAAGTATGTATGCATGCATGTATGCCCAAGATGCAGGTATGTAATATTGTTAGACACATCTTAAATGCACAGTGCTTTTCCTGACGTTTTTCTACCATACTTTCATAGTGATTGTTGTGCTTCCTGGTCAGTGAATCTATGTTATATTATACATGGTGGGTATATAAAATACCTCGATCATCAAACAAGAGCAAAGAAAACTATAGTGAACATTCTCCAAGACTAAATTCAAATGCTTTCCATTTTTCTCTTAGAAGAACATACAGTAAGAATCCTCAAGATTGTTTCTTTCAAAGTTATTTGTTTTACAGGAAGTGCAAGAGGAACATAAACAGTTGGTTAAAGGAGGGCCTTTCAAGTTAAATCTGTATCCCCAGGAGTATTTTGACATGAATCCCTATTTTACTGACAAACCTTTGCCACCTGTGAAAAAACCACCTCCAGAGAAGCCAATTGCACCACCTTTCAAACCAAGTTCTCCTGCTAAAAAGGTTAGTTTGTCTTATAGCTACCAGAGATGAAAGATAAATATTCAGATATTTCCTGTTAAAATCTTTGCTTACAGTACATAGAATAGAAATAAATGTTTGGTTTTGTATGAATTTCTTATTTTTCTTGCCAAAGATATTATTTCATTTACTTTGTTTTCAATTTACAAAGCAGTGAAATCTTGTTTGACCCAACAACAACTACTAACCAGTTTCAAGTAACCTAAAAAGTGTTTCTCTTTAAAATCTGCATTGTGTTGTTAACATACAGTTGATTGACTGCGTACACCACAAAAACACACAAAGCAGAAGGTTATGCAATAAATGACAGTAAGACTAGATTACTGTAGAAAAATGAAATACTCTCCTATTTTGGACTCTGTCACTCACTCATATAATATTTGAACCTGCTAATTACTCTCCGCCTATACAGACAAACATCTATAAGATAATTCCTAAAGTGTCATGGGAATGGATAGCTGGAAGCAGCAGAAAAACTCACATTAGTCCCTCTGCTCGGGGAAAGGCTGCAGAATAAATGCAGGAGTTATCTGTTGCTTGTCCATCAGCAGACACACATTTACAATCCACTTTAGAATTTGCCAACTCTTCACTAGTTAGGGGAAAAGGAGGAAAAGGATGGGAATAAATATATGTGGAAGGGCTTAGAAGGCATAAGAAATAAAGCCTGGAGGTAGTATGAAGGATATATAGGAACATAGTTCATTAGTTCCAGTTGCTTAGTGTCATTATTTGACACAAAGCAGCACTTTGACACTATGATATCTAAGGAATAACTGAAACATGGTGGGACAACTCACATGACTGGAGGATCATGATGGATGGCTATAGGCTGTTTCGTAAAGACAGGCAGGGAAGAGGTGGAGGAGTCATGCTCTATGTTAAGGAGAACCTTGAATGTATAGAAGTCAACTACAGCGATCATGGAAGCTCTATCAAATGCCTCTGTGTCAAGATCAGAGGGGTCATCTCCAAGGGGAATCTTACAGTTGACATCTGCTACGGATCTCCAAACCAAGACGATAAGGCCAAAGAATCACTATTTGGGTCACTTAAGCAAGCTTCGGGTCAACAGAACCTGCTTCTTATGGGTGACTTCAACTACCCAGACATTTGTTGGAAGAACAATACAGCAGCTCACGTGTTCCTGGAATACCCATCAGTCTTACTTCAATCCCTGGGAAAGTTATGGACCGAATCCTCCTGGGGGTTATTACAAGTCAAGTGAAGCATGTGATTGGGAAAAGCCAGCACCGATTCACCAAGGACAAATCGTGCTTGACAAACCTGATCGCCTTCTATGACAAAATAACCTGCTCGGTTGATGTAGGACGAGCGGTGGACGTTGTCTACCTGGATTTCTCCAAGGTTTTGATATGGTTCCCCACAGCCTCCTCCTGGAGAAACTGATGCATTATGGTCTAGACAAGTGGTCTGTGTGGTGGGTGGGGAACTGGCTGACAGGCTGCACCCAGAGGGTGGTGGTAAATAGCTGGCAACCTGTCACAAGTGAGGTCCCCTAGGGATTGATATTGTGCCCAACACTGTTTAATATCTTCATAAGTGATCTGGATGATGGGATCAAGTGCACCCTGATGAAGTTTACCAACAATACCAAACTGAGTGGAGAAGTGGACACTTCAGGAGAGCCACTCTGCAGGAAGACCTGGGTAGGCTGGAAGAGTGGGCTAACAAGAACCTTGTGAAGTTCAACAAAGACAAATGTGAGGTCTTGCACCTGGGAAAACATAATCCAGGAGTGCGGCACAGACTGGGATCCACCTGGCTGGAGACCAGCTCTGTGGAAAGGGACCTGGGGGTCCTGGTGGACAACAAGCTCAATATGAGTGAACAGTGTGCTGCTGTGGCAAACAAAGCCAACAGGATGATGAGTTGCATCAACAAGGGCATCACCAGCAGATAAAGAAGTCATTATCCCACTCCACTCAGCACTTGTCAGGCCACACTTGGAACACTCTCTTCAGTTTTGGTCCCTGCTATACAAGAAAGAAGTGGACAGGCTGGAGAGGGTTCAGAGGAGGGCCACCAGGATGATCAAAGGACTGGGAAGCCTGCTGTATGAGGAACGGCTGAGAGAACTGGGTTTGTTCAGCCTTGAGAAAAGAAGGCTTAGTGGAGACCTCATCACCATGTTCCTGTACTTAAAGGGTGGCTCCAAAGGAGATGGAGATTCCCTTTTTACTAGGAGTCACGTGGAAAAGATAAGGGGTAATGGGTACAAGTTACTCCTGGGGAGATTCCAGTTGGACACAAGAAGGCATTTTTTCCTTATGAGAACAATCAGCCATTGGAATAATTTCCCCAGGGAAGTGGTGCATTCCCCAACACTGGACAATTTTAAGATTCGGCTGAACAGGGCACTGAGCCATCTTGTCTTGACTGTGCTTTTATCTAAACAGAGCTTTTGCCAAGAAAGGTTGGACCAGATGATCCTTGAGGTCCCTTCCAACCTAGTATTCTATGATTCTATGATTATTTCTTAAAATCTAAATGGATATTTTTCCATTCCATAAGGCATTCCATCTTGATATATTTGTTTGAGGTGAGATACTAAATTTATGCTGTTCACCTTAGGCTACGCCTTAATTTCATTTTGAAATGGGTTTAAGATGCATAAATATCTCTCTCTCAAATGACTTCACATCCCCTAAGTAACATTCCTTAATCTGTCACTTTTCAGCTCTTCATTTTGGAGTTCCATTGCCAGTTATTTAATACTGTGCTCTGCTAACCACTATTTTCCTATTATTATGTCCTTCACCCTTGACTTACTTGACTGACATTGATTCATCTGAGGAAGATGATGATAGCAAGGAAAATAGAACTATTCAGAAAGAGACAGCAAAAATACTTACACGCAAATAATTGCGTTGGGTGTTTGGCCTCATAGATGAGGCAGCTGAGATCTTTCGGAATGGAAATCTGTTCAGAAAAGTTAACTGATAGAAAGTCAGCACCTCATCTGGCTGACAATGCTGGTGATCCTGCTCCAGGTTCCGCATCCTTCACACCATATATGCTTTCCCTGTATATATAAATTATATGTACTTCCCAAGCTACTGCACACTTTCCCTCTCTGCTATGTAAATTCTGATGGGGAAAATTGCTTTACTGTTGATTGAATCACTTACTGCTGCACTTTTCAGGAATGCAGCCTCAGCAGACCGAGGGTTTAGCTGTACTAGGGGATTGCAAAGAATTAATCAGATCTCTGCATGTTTTTTAACTAAAATTTGCAACTCTTGTAGTACTACTGGACATAACAATTCAGGAAAAGCCAATGCTGTATTCAATCCTCTATGTCAGAAAGCATATTGATAATAATGCCCAAGCCCTGCTGTACATAACAATCCCTACACCAGTACTGGACGTGGAGGTGTGCTAGTAAACTAATAGTGACATAGGAATTCCTTTTTTTTTGCCACAACAGAGCTCATTTTAGTGAGTTATGCTTTTGCTTTTCCTGTCACATTTTAAAGATCCTTTCCTCAAAATCCAGACTTATAAAAGAACATTTAAAACTAAGAATTCATTAAAATAATGACTAAAATTTCTTTAGAGTTTTCATTGCAAATTTAAGGAATATTTGGGTGGGGTTTTTTGTTTTCTTCTTGTATTTTGGGTTTTTAAAAATATATAATATGATGCAGTCTGCTATTCAATATTCTTACCTGCTTTGGTATGAAAAATATTTTAACAAACTCAATTATATCGTAGTTTAGCACTTTGAAAAGTGGTTTGGTTTTTTTTTTTCCCAGTCGGGGGGCATGAAAGGAGGCACATTTGATCCTTACCCAAGCCATTCTGCCGACCCTTATGTAATTACAAAATCTAAGGCTGTCACAACTAATAAAGAACGACAGATTTTTCATCCTCCTCCTGGACCAAAAAGCAGACCTGTTACAAGCATAATAACTTTAAATGTCACAAGGTAAGTTCCATTAATTTGGGTTCATGTTTCATGTATGCTATCTACCAAAACTCATTAGCACAGCTGTTTATTACTGTCTAAAATAATTGAATAAATGAAAGAATGAATTATTAACAAAAGGATAAGAAATGTATAAGGAACTTGACTTTCAAAATTTATTCCTACTCTCTTCTGTAAATTCAGGTTACTTTAAAAGGCTATACGTATCATAGAGACCTTCAAAATCATGCTATACAGATGTCACTGAAAAATTACTATTTTTTATCCTTTTCTGACTTGGTAAATGTAAAAAAGACCAGGAATGGTCCTGCTAAAACCAAAGTCTGTTTTTGCTTTCCCTTATGTTTATGGAATAAAATTTGGCCCCCCCTGCTGGCAAATATAATATTAGGTAATCTAACCCTGTAAAGCTTTTGAAACAATGGCTCTCAAATTGAACTCCTAACTACAAACATGTCACTGTGCAATTTTAGATTTCTAGTACACAGTCTATGTATATAGGTAAATAAGCACCTAATTCTTTACCTTTTTATCTTACTAATCTATAAGCCTTACATTTAAACAAATTTATTTTCTGGTTTTGGCTTTTGCTATTCAAGCAGAAAGTCAAGGCTGTTTTTTAGAGTTATTTAGAGAAATAATTTTCAAATGCAGACTTCTAAGCTTGCATGTAGAACAGTTAAGCATATTATTTTGCATACTCCATAAGTAACATGAAATGTTTTCGCAGTACTCGATTAAAATTTGAAAAACTGTCTTAGAGGAATCTGCTTCACATTTGTGATTTGTATCTTGCATATCATATGTGAAGTCTAAGAAATACACCCCCCCTTATTCACCCATTGCTGTTCTATTTACTTTATTTCACCACGTATTGGCATTTGCATATCACTTTTTAAGTTGCAGGGATATTTGAAGTTATTTACACTGACAAGGCAGAACCAGAAGCTACATATTACTCCACATTGCTTTTCATTACTAATGGAAAGTAAGAAAGAATTGAAAGTAACTTTTTGGTACACCAAAAAAGCATGGTAACTACCAACACTGATGTAAGAAAGTACAAACTTCCATGTATGCACTGGTGTTTTTAAACTGGTAAAAGGGAAAAAAAAATTATGTATTGGTCTGAGTAGCCTTCCTATCAGTGCAATTGTTTGTATTATTGTTTTATCAACAGAATAAAAATTCATGTTCCTGAATAAAATGGTTTTATTGGAAAAAAACCCTAATTGTATGTGAAGTAGGTTTCAAAACTGAAAGAGGGGAGACTGATTGTGAAGTATCACTATGTGCTCATAGATACAGTTATGATGGACTCATTAAAAATATTTGTAAAGAGAAAACTTTCATATATCCTACAGAAATTCCACAGAGAGAAATTAAAACTAGTATTCCAAATTCTCCACTACTGTTTCCCTCCTAAGAATTTTAAAGAATGTATTTATTTTTGGTTCATTGTTCCTAGGCTTAATAGAATGAGAATTGTGAACTGAATTTGTTAAAAGTATGATGCTTATAGCTCATAGATTTTAAGAAATGTGGTAGGACATTTCTTAAATCATCTGCTTTCCCACTGAATTACAGTTCTTTATATATTTTCCAGTAGAAAGCTTATCTTCTGATATTTGGACTATAATCCTATAATTGGATTTGCTAGTGTAGATTCTTGCTCTCACGCAGAGCTCTATTGAAATAAATTTGACATCACAGGGATTCAAGTCATTAAATCTAATTACAGGACTGGGTGTACTGCAGTTTTTAATTTGTACAAAAATTTGTAATTTGTACAGTAATATTCTATAAAAATCTAATAAGTTTCTCTTCATTTACATTTCAGATCATTAAATGTAAAGAACTACAAGACTGCACAGCTGACATCTTATTAGGTACAAAAGGTGAAATGAAGGGTGCACTTTTTGACTCTCTGAACTCTTAACAAAGCAAATAAAAATGTGAAAAGTGGAATTCAAGTATATAGGGCAATTCAATCTGTTTAATTATTGAGAATGCAATATTTTGTTTCTAAATATAAAGCTATAATAAATAATTTAAGATAATTTATTTATTAAGTCCAAGTTTGTATTTTTATATAAATTTTCATCTTATTTCTTAACTGGACTTTTGAAACATACTTTTAGAAAACATGCATTCTAATGAGTAATTTGGATTGAAATTCGACTATATATTGCAGTGGAACAAAGTGCATATATTTTAAAGTGAGTATCAGTGTATGTATTAAGCAAGTTAGTCACATGTGGCCCACAGTGAAACTAAGGCCACTGTTTCTCTTCAGTAGAATTACAACTTGTACCTTATTTCAACTATAATTTTCTGTAAAAAATTATATTGTCTTAAAAATATCTAATTTTTAGTTTTGATGATCTTCTTAAAATGACCAATATCAAGCCTTGTTCAAATCCAGACCACAGGAAAGGTGGTCTCTATATACCAGCATCTATTTATTGCTCTTACTCAATTTCCTGACAACCATAAGTGCTGCCATATTCTCCAAGAGCAGCTTAATTTCACTTTGTGTATGTGGAAGGTTCCTAACAAATCTGATCCGTCTTTCAAACTAGCTGCTTCTCAGATGGAACTGTGATTATAAATGTACACCTTACCCCCATCTTCATAATTTTTGTCAGGTTTTTGTATGTGGTCCAAGAAATTTGTTCATGTAAATCAAAGCTAATTTATTATAAAAGGTAAAAAAATACTCAGCATTTTTTTATCCAAATTATTACAGGAAAACAAAATTTCTTTATTCATTTTTATTAAAGATTTACTGTACATTGTAGAATATTCATGAAATGGTATCCTTACTGCTGTTTACAGGCTAATAGTTTTTAAAATAAATTCCAGACTAGGTCTCACATTTCCTGGCATCAATGAAAATAAAAATAAAACCAAGAATTGTTGGTCAGGTCTTCCCGCATGTGTTGTGTTGAAGCATAAAACCCCTTACCTTGAGATCAATAGGACAATTTTTTAAAATATTAATTTATACAAGAATTTTTATGTTCTCTCTATCCAAAGAGCTATAACAGAATTCCTTCTTTCATTGTTTATATCTTGTATTAGATAATGGTACTGGTGCTGACCTTAGGTACCTTACTGTCATCTTTGTATGCAGTATGAGGAGTATTTGCCATGTTGTTCGCCTGTGAAGTTTGCAGACACAGCATTCCTAGGTAGACTGAACTATACTGTATTTCCTCCTAACTGCTCTTCTGATGTAGTACAGCTGATGAAGACTGCTCTGAAGTTTTTCTTTATATCCTTCTGTCTCCTCTTCTTGCAATTCTTTCTCTTCTATTTTCTTCTGTATTTCAATGATCTTTTCATTCACTAATAAGATGGAAATACTAAAAGCTGATGAAAATGTGTGGAGCTTAATTTAGAAAAAAAGAAATCATTCCAGCTTGTTTGAGAAGATACTACTGTATGTGGACTAGCCTCGCGTGGTCATCATGGGAGCCAGTAACTTCACCTGATAAGTGCCCACCAAAAAATGTGTGGTTCCAAGGAACTGACACCCAATTCTAGCGAGGGCCTCAGTATGCAAATACAAATGGTAATTGTGTCCCTTGGCTTCTTAGCAGTACCTTTGACTGTGATGGTGGAATGTAGAACTAATGACATTACTTACATTGTTTTCATAATTAACAGCACCCCTACATCCTTACAGTATAGGTACATCCAGTCACATTTATAACTGATTCTGACCACAATTTAATAGTTACAATCTGAAGCAACTTCATGCTTGTGCAAGTGTTAAATGCAATTAAGCGCCTGACCATCTACTCAATAGCCCAAGTATTTACCATTTTAATGTGCTTATTGACTTTGGGTGTGCAATGCAAAATTGTGGCAAATACTTTTGCCTGTATCTCCAGTAAAAAGCTGCAACAAACCCTTTTGTATCTTTTAAACATTTTTTACAGGAAAAAGCATTAAGAACTAGACTTAGATATTTAATGTAGTTTTTAGTAATTCTACTGTATGTATCAGTCATGATACAAAACCATGCCGAATGACATTTACAGTCTTGTATTTCAAACCAGATAAATAATTGTTAATTTGCTGCAATCAGTCTTTATGAATTATTGGAGAAATAGGAAGAAACTTCAACTTCATAGAATAATATATGCAGTATTTTTGAGAAATTCTTCGTCCCCATGGTCCCTTGGCTGAGAAAATTATCTGAGAGGATAATTTTTGCACCTTTCATAGCTATGGCCATGTTCTCTGAATATGTTTACACTGAAAATGTTAAATTTCATGTTTTAGCTAATAAGCTTTCTAAGTCAGTATCTAGTATAAAGAGATAAAGGGTGCCTTGTGTTGGTTAAACATAGACCAGAATTAGATGTCAACTAAAACATACATAAATAGAGGTTAAACTTAATTTAGGACTTCTTGCAGAAATAGCCAGTGAAATGTTGTGGCATGTACTAAGCTGTTCAGCTAAAAGGTCTTTAAGATTCCCTTCTGACTCTGAAATCCTAGGGACAGAATTCTATCTTCTGTAAACTGTCACAGTTTTATTAAATTTCTTTATACTACTTACATTGTGTAAGGATCTGCTTTTGTGAATCTGTGAAATCCAGCCAAGTATCAAAAAACCAGGCAGTTCTTTTTAGAACATAACAAAAATATGGAAATGCTGGACATCAGAATTGTAAATGTTTTACAAAAGAAAACGGTCTATTACAATTTATTTGAAGCAATAGACTGTTGTAGGAATTGCCTGGAAAAGAAAATCAGCTAATAAGATATTGGAGAATAAATCTCATACCTTGTGAATCATATTCTGAGGCTTTATACTTAGAACAGAAATTTCTGTACAAATTCTAGTGGAATATTTAGAGTAACAGTTCTATTGCCTGATATGAGTACCATGGTACCTGGTAACCAGGTTTCCTTTGCCCACACACTAGAGCTGTAGCTTGGTGTTGGAGATAAATATAATCCTTATGCAAATGGCAGAATTCAGACTGTAATACATCTCTCTCATTTTCGGTAGTCCAGAGGAGATTTACTAATAAGCATTCTTTCATATTTGTCACTTTCATATTTGGAAGTGTCTTGTCTATATTCCTGCAGTTCTTTCTTAAGAAACTGACTTTCTTCTGTGACATTTGTTACTGCTGTGGATAACCTCTTGCATTCTCTTTAAAAGATCAATATCTACTTTTGCATTTCTGAGTTCAGTCATGAATTTATTTTCTGTATAAGCTTTATCTGATTGGAGTTTCTCAAAGTCTTTCTGCAGCATCTGTTTAGTATCAGAACATTCCTGCAGGGTCATTTTAAGGTTAAGTTTTTTGGCTTCCAGTGTTTGCATTAACTGAAGATGAGTTTCCAGTTCAGATTTTGTTGCTTTTTCTTTTGTGTTGCATTTCACTCTGATTTCTTTCAAGCTCTTGCTCTAGGGAACTATTTTCTTTTGTAAGCTGGGATATTTCTATCTTGTTTTTTTATTTGTTTCTTGTAACTTGAAGCATTCCTTTTGCAAGAACTTTAGGTGCAAGAACTTTAGGACTGCACTGAGCCTCTCTCTTTCACAGGTAACAGGAGTTATCTTTTCTTCTACTTTCTAGTTCCTAATTTGAAAGTCATGTTGTGTCTGTATTGAATGTTGGTTTCCATTGAGGAGTTGATTCCTCTCTTCCACAAGGATGTTTTTCTAGTTTTGGAGTTCTTTACATTTTCTTAAGTTCTTTGCTTCCTTAATACATTCCTTGTTATCTTCTTGTGATTTAACCAACTGAATTTGCACATTTTTCTTCAGTTAAATCCTTAGTTTGCATATTACATTTTGATATTTTTTCTTTCCAAGACTGTGTGGTAACAGTAAGAGGTTCCATGTTGTTCTTGAGAGCTAAATTTTCATTTGGAAGACCATGTACTGTTTTTTGCAAATGCTCAGAATTTTTCAGGGACTTTTTCAATGCCTCAATTTTGCCATCATATTCACAATCTACTTTGATTTCACTGAACTTCTGATTTCCTTGCCTCAGTAACAGTCTGTTGTTGTTCTTGTAGGCCATTTTCTTTAACTGGAACTAAACCAATATGTGATTCATCAGAAGAGGTCACCATTTCTGCACTTTCTTTTAAGTTATTTAATTTTTCTCTGCATAAAAAGCCGGATTTTTCTGTATTATCTGCTAACAAATCCAAATCATTATGAACTGACTTCTGAAATTCTTGTTTTAGCAACTTGGTAGGATAGTTAGTATTATCTATTTTATGAAATTCTTTCCCAAATTTGGGAAAAGGTACATGGAGTTTAGATTCACTCACAATGACCTTCTCATGGGCAGCATTCAACCTTTCTGTATCCAAATCAATGTCAAATAGAAAATGTCTACATTTATGTTAATTTTTTATTGCAAGTATCCTGTTGTTTCCAAACAAATCTTCTGAATTTTCAACCTTTTCAGATGCTATAGTTTTAAGCAAAATCCTGTGTGGAATATTTATATCACTGATGACATTTCCAGTATTGGAATTTGCTTCCATATGCTCATCTGAACAGGGTTGATCATGATGAATTTTTCTCTTAGAAGGCAGCAATTCAGGATTTTCCATAAGCTACCCCACCAAATTAAAAACAAATGTACAAAAAACTGTCATGCTGTAAAAATTGTGAAACATTGCAGTACTGGAAGCATAAGTCAACTAAATTGTTACCAAAGCCAGTTACCAATCAAGACTTGTACCGATCACCTCTGCCAATGCCATTTACCTATTAAAAGAATGTCAACAATTATCGTAGGCCCCATTTGATTCAGTACTAGGCTTTGGAGCAGGCACAAAATACCAAGTAAGTGTCTTTAAATCAATTCAGTATATTTTCATCAGAGGAGAGATGACTTAA